ACGTTGAAATCTGTGACATCTGCCTCTTGACGGATGTGGTTATACATGCAGGTCAGCTGATGTAAAGAAAAGAAACTGTTAATGATTCTGAACTTGTGAAATATAGTTGTTGTTTTTTTTTGGGGGGGAGGGGGTCATTTTGACTTAATTTAGACAGGGTTAGAGTAAAACATTGGGAGAGAGAGTGGGGAATGACATGCAGCAATGGAGCAACAGGTTGATTTGAACCAAGTTTGCCCGCTTGGAGGACTATTGCCTCCGTATATGGGACACAACCTGACCACTAGTTCATGAGCTAAGACAAACTGTCATAAAATAATTATGTAATTGCCTACTGCAGCATTACAGAACCCTTTTGAGGTCAGGTAAAGTTTTAAGTGCACTTTCAATCCACTCTTCACCAGTATTCTGACTTTGAGAGTCATTAAAATCTCATTTCTTCATTAGCCTAGTGGTTTGTTCTCCCGCAGTACAGAGGCTACAGTCCACAAGGCGGGCGCCCCGGTTCCCCAAGGCACACTTGTTTCCACTAAGCTCATCAGTCTGAATTAGAAACCTGGGTCTTCACTCCACTACTCTGACAACAACTCCTGTGTCTTTAAAGTAGTGCTCTGTGTACTTTCTTGCAGTTTTTTTTGACTCACACATTTTGTTTTAATACCCTATTTATAAAAACTGATTCATTCACATGTGTATATAAATGCATTTACTTCGCCAAGTCCATAACACTTTCTTACCTGAGTCTCCACCAGGTTGACCTTGTTACTGCCCCTCCTCCGACTAGCTCTGATCAGCTTCTTGATCTGCCCCTTTGAAATGCTCCTCACCCCTGTACATGTGAACCCCTGCAGCACTGAGGAGGACAAGCTACACACACACACACACACACACACACACACACACACGTTAAAATTTACTTGCAGAATGCGCCTGATTGGGTATTTTATGTTGCCTATTATTTTATTGAAAAATGAACGTACTTGTCTGCACTTCCCAGAACGTTAGCTGATGTCTCAGTAGCTATAACATTGAAGAAGAACACACTCTGGAAAAAAAGGAGAAAAGGATTGCGTAATGACATGAATTGCCAGTAGGTGTGTTCAGTACCAGAGTGTTTTAGTGATGCGTCCCCTTACCTGCTGCCGTTTCCATTTCTTTCGGTTAACTCTTGTGATAACAGTGTTACTGCTTGTCAAGCCAATCAGCCCAAAAGGAGGGATTTCAGTGGCCAGATCATCCGGAACGTTTTCTAAGATCATCTCAGTGTTGCCATTCACTTTTATAATCTGAGAGGGGGTATGGGAAATTAGTTAAGTCAAATGTTGTTATCATCATTATTATTTTGATACCTTTAAAATTAATTTGATGGATAAATGTTAGGCATACTTAATTTCTAGTTGCCGATATTCATAATGTGAAATTAGCTTTTTTCTTTATTAGTTGCTGCATGTGAGCACCCCCCCCCCCCAAAAAAAAAAAAGAAAAAAAGAAAATAAATCCTCACTTTCTTTGGCACAAATAGCCCTCAAAGTATCTTTAAAAAAAATGAAAATAATGTTAAGTCTAAAGGATATACAGTGTGACATAAATGAGCCTTATCTCTGCTGGATTCATTTTTCATAATCTACAATTTTCAATCAGCAATTATTCCATATTCCAGCACTTGTTATGTTTCTTAATACTGTAAATGTGCTCTTCTTTTTTGTACACCTTGAGTGTAGGACATCGACAGAATGTCTGGTGGTTGTTTTCTGTTTTTATTTTGTTTCCCTCACTTTGTCTCTGTTAACAGATTTTCCTTTTCCCTATGCAAGTCAGCAGAATAAAGGAAGTTATAAAATACGATATCGTCTGTCATGAAAATAAAACTCGACTTAAATTAATTTGCTTAACATTTACATTTCTCAGATGATCTGGAAAGGAACTGAAGCTGTCTCACCTGAGTGACAAGTTGCTGTCGGAGGAATGTCGGAGCAGACACAACGTGTTGCAGAAAAGCAACATTTGTAAGAGCAGAAATTAAATGTGAGCCATTGAAGTTCCCCAAAGTTGTAGAGGGGACACCACTGAAAATTGATCCAAGCATGATCAAAGATGAGGCGCTATTGATCTGTAAGGATTAAAAACATATGTGAAGCAACACAAATGAGTATTCTTCTGATGTGCTCACAAACTAAAATCAAACCTGAGTTTAATGAGAAAAAACAGACAAACTACCTGCAGTCCTGAAGACATCAGTAACAGAAAAATGGCCCGGGCCTGCCCTTGATTCCAGCCTGTCACTGCACTAAAAGTGCTGAGGGAATTATGTATCTCCTGAGGATTTATCGTCATGATCTGACCTGTGGACAAGCCGTTGCTTTGATTGCCGAGGGCAGCAATGCCTGTGGCATCAATGTTGTCACCAAGATTACTCGCCAAGGCTGAAGTGACCTGCAGGGATCAGAAACAAGGCATCAGCTGAAGTACTTTTTCTGTGTGAAGTTGAGTTATGTTAAAAAGAAATTGAGAAGGTTGTTTGAATTGCCCATAAAGGTACAGTGTTGAAAAATTAAGCCATTGCTGAAGGGCAAATTTTCTGACTTCCATCGCTGGTCCTCATAACGCTTCTTCACTGAGACAACATCCACATTTTATTTATTCTTACAAACTTTACTCAAAAGCCTTTTTGTACCCATATCATTCATTCCCTCTGAACTGTCATGTTTCCAGAAGAACCTAAACTTGTTTCTGATATGTCAGCCCCTTGTAAAAGATATATTTTGCTTTAGTTAAGGTTTAATAACAACACAAAATACACAGAAATGTCTTCCTCCAAAACAAACTAACCAGGATGAAAAAAGAGAGATCCCTCAGTAGGTTTCCACATGTCATCTTCTGTTTTTCATGTTTGTATGAGAAAAGCGCTGAGCGAGTAATCTGACAGATATTTTCAGATTTTCTTTTGAAATAAAAATATTGATCAGCAACATTTCAACAATGTTCTTCTGATAGAGGAAAACAAATTCCATGAAAGGATTGTGAGCAGTCAGGTTAAATAGTACATAGACTACAATACCTACAATATGATGAGGATTTTAAAATATGATGAGAATCAATTTTAAGAAACATTTTTTTTTAGAAACAACTTCATATCTCCTGTTACTATGGGTTTTTTTTTTTTTACCTGTGGATCCAGGTCTGAACAGATAGTGGTCACATTGTGCAGAACTGTTATACTTTCTGCTTCAGTCAGCTGGGCGAAAGCCGGCCCAGGAACATCGCACCAAAACAACACGGGAAGTCTGCAGGGAGAAAATAGAATTAGTACACTTTACAGTTCAAGTAACTATTCCACACTGTCAAAGTACTCAACAACAAGGGGGGAAACCCTTACCTTAGTCAAACTAAGCTTTATCTGTACAATGTACTTACATCACAAGAAAATCAAAGTCACCATGCAGTAAAGCGGTTCCTGTGAGTATTTACTTCTAAATGATGTTGTTTATTAATATCACTGCTGCATTATGTTGCATGTCGCTGCTGTTGATGTTCAAGGTTATATTTATTTTTCTACTTTATATCCTTTTTTGTAATTTATTCCACAGGATCATGTTCTTAAAGATCAACATACTGTAGATTGAAAGTAAAGGATCTCTAAAATGTCCAAATATCCTCATCTCTATTTTCTTGGTGAGAAGAGAGGAAGGACAATTTACCCAACCTAAAGGAACAATCCTATGATCAGAAAAAAAAGAATAATTGGAGAAGCATGATAATAATAATACTACTACTAATAATAATATTAATAATAATAGCTTGGATTTATATAGCGCCTTTCAAGGAACCCAAGGACGCTTAACAAAAGTACAAAACGGGGGGCTGTAATAGGAGACAACAAGAGAGAAATAAAGAAACACATAAAGCTGATAAGTATTGGTAAAGTAGAATATGAACAAATGCAGTCTTCAATGTATCGAATGACAACAGACAATTGTAGTGCAGAAAAAGTACAACATTTAGCTCTAGAGCAGAATAATTTCAATTTGCATTTAATGTTTTAATTTAATTGAGGTACTTCAATGAATGTACTTCTCCTCAACTTTAAACAATTGATTGTTATGATGTGTAAAAGGCTGTCTTTTAAGACTCACATTAAGGGGTTGAAGTTGCTGTCCTGTTCATAAACAAGCTCTGTGTAGTAGTTGTTGAGGTTGGCAGGTAAGCCAGCCTGGTTGAGGAGGGCGATGTTCAGAGAGTTCACTGTGAACACCCTGATCACCTGCAGAGGGGGGAAAGAGAGGGTTATGAACATGTAACACTTTTTGGCTATCTTTTAGTATTTTTCTTCCTAATTTCAGCCTCTGTGAACAACACCCGAGCTGCAGCTTTATTTTTTAGTGCACATTAATTCAGTACCTCTGAGATCCAAAAGACAGTAAATCCTCCAGGGTGAGGAAAGAAATGAAAGGGCCGATGTACTCAGCAAACCATGCTGTAGAGTTCAGGTCTGGGTTGCTGGGATCGTAGCATCTTGGAACTGTGCCTGCAAAGACAAATACCCAATATTTCAACAGTTGTCCAAGCATCTGTGTGTCTGCAGGAAAGGAATGATCAAATAGAGTGATTTGGCTCGGAGAATAAACTTTGAATGTGTCTGTGTATGATGAGGATCATAGAACTGCAACGTATAAAATGTGCACTGTTGAGCAATAGTACGATGTCTGCATGGCGGATCGTGGACACATTGTATCCTTCAAGATCTGATATCGTCATATCCGAACACCTATGTGCAGTAAACACATGTATTTCAGCTCTACAGACCGATTATAAGGACACAAAGATTAAAGTTAAAGTCAATGTTATTCTGGGTACTGACCTGAGGTGAGGTAACTCCTGATGGTGAGGAACACATCTGACCTCTGGAAGTCTGCAGCATTGAAGTTGAATTCACCAAGAATGGCAACTCTAAACAACAAAATAAAAATCAATCACACTGTTTAAAAAGCTACACTAGTGAGGATATTCTACGGTGAAATCTATACATACATCCTTTGGAAGGCGAGGCAGGATGCATTGTGTGTGATCTCGGGGCTGATCAGACTGCTATCGAGCAGGTCTGTGTAGTTGTTGTTGCTAAGGCCACTAAAGAAGGCGTCCACTTCTGACTTCTCTGTGATCCTGAGAGCCAATGGCCAGACGCAAAACAACGTGGGCCACTGCACCTCCTTCGTGAGAATCACCTGTAGAGAACATATACAGAAATATTACAATATATCATCACTTTGTGTTTGCAGGTCTGTGTGCGGAATTCTGGTACATACAGTCTGAAGGAAAACTGCCGTCTGGTCGTATACGTTGAAGATGTCACAGAGCGCTGTTTCATTGTTGATAAAATCAGGAGTTTGGAGCAAGGCTCCAAGATGTGATGGAGGCATGGAGTTCACCAACTACAGAAAAACATTCAAATAAGACAAAGTCTTGACAAACTCAAGCAATATAATCAACTCTCCCGAACTGACACGTCTATAATGGCATACCCACCTGGTTTGTTCTGTCGTGACTGATGAGGGACAGGAAGACGTTCAGTTTGGGAAGCTGGAATCCCAAGAACGAGCGCACCATGAACTCGTAAAAACTGCGGTTGAAGTTGTTACCGTAGCACTGGAGAGCTACCGGTCCTGGAAAGAGTATAATTGAAGTTACGTCAGGTTGTTTATTTTGTATCTATTTGTAGATTTGGTTTATAAAGTGTGAGTCATCCTCTTTTTTACTCAAATCAAACAAAACAGGACAAGATAAGACTTATGTTAAACTTAAAAAAAAGAAGAGAAACACACTACTAAAGCAATTCAATTGTGTTTACAATCTATCCATACTTTGTCACACTGATTGTCCATACTGTTCTACTGCTTCTACTGCATGACTATCTGTTTATAGAGAGGCAGCCCTCATCTCTATCCATAAACATGGTTGATGACGTGCACAAAACGTTTGAAGACGGGATTCCAATCAGGGATCAGTACGTTCAAGGACCATTGCCTCTGCATGTGTCGCACTCGCTCCACCAACTGAGCCAAATCAGCACCACTTACCACTTTTAATGGCATCCATCGATATGTGTGATCGGTACTTTTGTCTGCTTACTAGAGTGGTCTGTAGCTCGTCTTTATGTTTCATTTATTTTGTTCCCAGAATGGATGATGTAATTTTAGGGGACAGATTTAATAACTCTAATACTAGAGTCATGCAATGAAGCTTGTAAATGCACTCAACTATATCTAAAAGTCATTCTTTTGATCCCATTGAGTGTGTCAACTCTCAGTTCTCATTTTGCCTCTGAAGGGCTCTGATTGGTTTTTCTTAGTGTCTGACAAGCTTTGGTGAGAATTTATTTTCTACCGCCATCTTTTTTTGCAACAACATTTCCAGAGCATGACTTCTGTTTCTTCTTTAACATAGATGATCTTTCTCTTAAACTCAAATGTTTTTCTCTCTAGTGATCCTTTCCAAAATGAGTTCCCAGAACAATTAAGGTTTTAAGTCTTTTCATTTTTTTATCTACAACAACCACTTAGAAACCACAGCACTGTATACCTTTGCCATTTGCTGTCATGTTAACATTTTAAATGGGATAAGATTCATGGTGAGGGGAGCTGATGGCCTAGCGGTAAGTTCCTTTCACATGTTCAGAAGCCATAGACCTCCAAGAGAGCCTGCAGCCCCTTTCCGGCATTTCATTCCCCACTCCTTCTCCCAATTTCCTACTCTATCCACTGACCTCTCTGAATAAATGCAAAAGCTGATTTCTATTGGAGCACTTTCTTTACCTCTAAGAGACAGTATGATATGGGTTTGGACTTCTTCATGTGTGACATCACTGAGTGAAGAGATTGTTCCATTCAGAATGTCCACTCTGAAAAAAAAAGGATTTAAAAAAAGGACATCAGTCATTTTTCAGTTTCTGCTGTATGGCTCTTTCTAACAATGACATAATTTACACTGACCCCAGCTGCTGGATATTGCAGCCTCTTCCAGAAAGTATTTGAAAGAATGGCGCAACCTGCAGATGTGACATGTTGTGCACCAGGGGGCGCATTCTGACGTGGAGCCAAACGAACACCACTGAATCACTGACTGAGGGATTTGAGAGGTTTGCACGATTAAACACGACCTGCAACATGGCTGTTCTCACATCATGTTGGAGCATGTCCTCGTGACCCTACAGAGAAAAGAGACAAAGTGGGAAGGAAAGATGTCAGAAAGCTACCGCATACCGCAAGTTTCATGTTTGTAGAATTATGAATTGTATTGTTTGCTTTGCATAATGAGGAAATAAGTCAGCTGAGGCTTATAGTTCCTTCTAAAGACATCCTTTAATCAGCCAGCTTTTCCTGATTTTACTTGAATTTTAAATCTATTGAATGAGAAAATATTTTTAAAAGAGTACACGTCTTTTCAAATATGTATTTCTTAATCCTTGCTTTGACTTTTGATTTCATGACCTACCTGTTTTACTTTGCTGCCTTTGTTAAGGACTCCATTTACAAAAGTTTCAGATGATGTTTGTAAACTTTCCACACGTATTTCAAACTGTACTACGTCGGATGTGTTTGCAGCATATTGTAACCGTATTTTTGCAAAGCTCGTGTTTAAAAAATATTTCTATTACATTTGTTGAATGAGAAACTTGGATAGCAACAACAAAGAGGACCTTAAATAAATTAAGTTTAGATAGTTGCGGCCAGTTAACTGTAGTGACTCATTGTCATATTTTCTTGAAAGTACAGTATCACATGTACATGTATGTCTGAAACCCAGTAATTGTGCTGCTGCCTGTCTTGGCCAGGACGCTCTTGTAAAAGAGATTTTTAATCTCAATGAGACTTTTTCCTGGTTAAATAAAGGTTAAATAAAAATAATAATTTAAAGGAAATGTATGAATTTGAAAGCTTCTGTGCGGAACCCTAGATTTGTGTTGATCTTAAAACTTTTGTGGCAAACTTACAACGATAGCAGTGGAGAAGTCGTCAAAGAAGTCAGGTAAGTGTCTGTCTGGGATGAGTCCCGCCAACATTTCAACCTGGGCGGCAGAGGTGAGCTGACCAGGTCTGGCGGCCACCTCTGCTAGCTGTCCAATTGTCAGCATTGAAAGAGCTTCCAGCTGCATGTAAACACGGACACATTAATGGACAACAATACTGTGAAGAGAAAAAAACAAGCCAATAAAGAAGAATAATAGCAGTGGAAATAAAATAAAAAGAAGGTTACCGGTGAGAAGATGGGATACAACATCTGAATGTCTTCGAGAGATGCAAAGTCAGAGAAAGCTCCCATGTTCCTCTGCAGCCACTCTACACTGGTGTTAATGTTCAATCTGCAGCCAGGATCTGAACAAGAAAAAAAACACACAACAAATTAAAATGTACTGTCATTCGGATTGTTTGTCCATATCTTAAGAAAGGCAACTATGCTGTGGCTAACAAATCTTATCTGTACTTTACTTTAACTGTCATTTACTTATTATTCTATGTATCCTCTAAATTATTTATGTATTGCTATTTTTCTAAATTGTCTAGATATGCCAGTGTCAGGGGAGGTTGGGGGACTGACTGGAATGTATGTTTACGGTTCCAAACTATTTAAGAAAATAAATAAATAAATAAATTAAAACACTTATGGCAATTTTTTGGACTTCAGTCTTTATTGTCTCACATTCACTTTGTTGTTCCATGTTTATGTAAAGATAAAAACATACCTGCTGTGTCATTCATGACCAGGAAACCTCTAATAAAGTGTGTGTAGACAGACATCTGCGTTGAGAGAGACATGTGTGGCAGGACACTGCTGAAAACCTGCACCCTAGGTTTAGAAATGAAGTGTGGGGGTCACATGGTTAATGTATTTCAAAATCAAAGTAGTTAGGATGTGTTAGATGCTTTCTGCACGTGATGCTGCTTACAGGTGCTGGAAGGAGCTGCAGTTCAAACCCCTTGTGACCAGACATGACAGGAAGTCAGGGGAAACGGCAGGCAGGAAAGGGCGGAGCCGCCGTTGGAACCACCGCTCAATGAGGGCGGGGCTGTTGAAGGCGACAGAGCTAAGCGTGTCCAATCGGATTTCTCGTATAGAGTCCAAAATCATCAACACCGCTGGATTTCTGGGGTCCAGAGTCTACAAGTAAAAAAAAAAAATCCAGTGAGCTGTTGCACCAGCTATGTTTAAATTCTGTCTTAAGTTTGAATGCAAAGTTCACACCAAACCCTATGTTGGAACTAGTTAGTTTGTAACTTAAGTTGTCTCATTGTTTGGTTGCACCACTGGGACATAAGGTTCATCTTTATTTGACACCAAGATGGCAGACTGAGTGGACAGGTGCTCAATGTAACAATTTAAAGCCCTAAAAAATTGCATTGCAAACTCTTGCACTGTACAAATCCCTTAATTGGCAATTTTTTGTTCCTGATACATTGTCTGTTCTTTAATTCCAAGAAAGACTGAGATAAAGTCTAGTAGCTTCATTTTAGTACAACGCTACAATCCGTTCAAACTAGGCTATGTTTTAACATACACACAGCTGGTACAACCCAGTACAAAGTCCTACTCTGATCAGGAGAGGGTAGAGTGAGGTGTTTTGCTAATTCATACCATGTTGCTCAGATGATCCAGAGCTTTATCCAGCACATGTGAAGCTTTGGAGAGGAGAAGCTTCCAGATAGGTCTGGAACCACTGGTGTCAGCGGAGCGGTTACACGCCAGTAACATTCTCAGTTCCTCTGCTGTCAATGCAGAGAGCTGCGTAAAGAAAGAGCAGGGAGGAAGATTGGAGGAGGACTCATGTTGACACATTTTCACCAAACAGCTTTCATTGGGCAGTTGTTGAGCTGAGATGTTTCACTGTTTTACCTGGGCACATGCAAATTCCTCAACAGAGAAGTCGCACACGCGTCCAATTAGACGTCCACCGTTGAGGTTGAGCTGCAGCATCGTGCTGTATGTCCAAAATAAGAAGGAGCATGAAACATTTATTGTCAGTATATTAAAACACAAACTGTTCAAACAAACTCAAAGTTAAATACATATCTACAAATCCCACCTGTTCACTCCAACACAAATGTCTGTTTCTGTGAACAAAAAGGAATAAATGTTTTGATCATTGTCGTCCAGATATTGAATTGTTTGAGTTGTATACATAAAAAAGAAAAGAAAAAATCTTACCATTTGTCATGGTAAAATTGCACTAAGGGAAGAAAAAGATAAAAATTGTTAAGTGTCTTTTGTCATAATGAGACAAGAAATATTCTGAAAAAAAAAATCATGTGAGATTACCTGTCCACTGTATATGATGCAACCTTTAACAAAAACAAGAGACATTGAAAAGACATTAGGGTATGGTTAGGATATTTACATAAAAAATCTGGAATAGCTTGCTTTTTTGTTCCTGTCAAGCTGTGAACAATGCATTGAAATATCATCACGTTTACATTGTAAAGCTTGTTTGCAAACAATTTTTAATTTGAATATTTAGGTTTGAATATGAGAAAGAAATGTTCTCTCTTTTATTTCTGTTTTTCCCTCCACCAACTCCTGAAGGAAAATCTCTTTCCCTTAAGGTCTATAAAGGTCCATTACGTGCACCAGTGGGTCACTAACTTCATCCGTCTGGTTTTTGGTGTGTCACTAAAAGACAGCTTACAATACAATGCAATACAATACAATACTTTATAGCTTATACCTGCTGCAGCCAAACACAAAGCTACTCAGACAGTAAGACTCATTTAAAGCAGTAAAGAGTTTTTTTAAAGCTTGTTTTTAAATCAAACCACTTGATGCATGTTTATACTCTGCATAAGATATGGCTTTTTAAAATATCTTTCCTTTCTTTTTGCACTTAATGCTTAATGTTAGTATTTTGTACTGATCTTGGTGTTTGATTGTACAGCACTTGGTCACATTTTTGTTATTTTTAAAAATACTTTGCAAAATTTTTGGATATGATTTACAAAAGATTAGTCTTTAGTTTTATGAACTTTAACTTGTGAAAAATGAATTTGGGGAAGATGTGTATTTTAGATGATGCAAAACAGACCTAGAATATTCCGGTTTGATTAAATTGATTGTGCAGCCACAACATCAACATAATCTTAGTTAGCAATAATTTATCCAACCATAAAGCTATTTCATATTCAGGTGTTACACAAGTTAAGTAATTGGTTTATATTAAGTATATACTTGTTTATTTCATCATTTCCAGTGTTATGTTGCAAATGTTTATAACATACAGACTGTGCCTGTCACCTGGTTGAATGTGCTGGGATAATGCCGTTTTTGTGTACGTAATGGTCGCAGCCACCCGAGGAGAAGCTGAAGCCAGAGTCATGTCCAGTCTTATGAACCTAGAACAAGCAACAGTACATCCAATATTTTATGCTTCATGTGTCGTTTATAATTGAGCCACTTCATATATTTAAAGATGGACATAAACTCACAGTGTGGTATATTCTGAACAGGAGAGGTTTCCCTGTAAATACAGAATACAAAGAGGATTACTTACAACAAATTAAGCAAATTTGATTTTTTTTTGAGAAAACAAAGTAATTATTTTTTACCTGTTGAAGGAAAAAGACAAGGTACATCAAGAAGTCCTCAACGTTTTCTTCACCAGGTAATTCAGCCAGGTGATCAAAGAGGGAATTTATGATGATTTCTTTCTCTGGTAGAGCAGAAAGAGTCAACACCAGCAGCTCCGCACTCTGCTTTGGTGTCAGGAGTGAAAGGACCTCCAGCTGAACGGAAAGGAGAGAACCAAACACATTTTACTGCCCCTGAAAATAATGAGGGCCCCGTTTTTCAACAGCACAACTGATCGGATTTAAGGCGTCGGATTGGATCACATCTTGAAAATGGGTTGTTCAAGAGAAAGAATATAATGAATTGGATAAGACAGGCCATCCAATCTAGGATTTTATCTGCATAAAACATCCACTTTGTGTAATTAATAACTTTGAGATGGATTTGGATAACTTTGATCCAAAACATCTGGATTATCCTGACTCCAGAGGGCTAAATTCAGGCTGAAAAAAAGAACAGGTTAAAAAAGTAACAACACTGATAAGTTGGTCAAAATATTCAACATTTTAACCATGATGTTGATACTTCACACATTCTAATTTATATTTTGCTTCTGAATTGCTGCATATCTACCACGACATAGTAGATACAGTAGACATTAGAGTTTTGAAAAAAATAAAAGGATTGTGTCTCCATAAAACATTTCACAAAATAGAACGTAGTGGTAGTATGTTGGTATGTGGAATGTTGTCCCATTCAGAGCAATATCAATCTGGATTTAGTCGTCTTTAAAGGTCTACGTAAGATTGATCCTATCCAGTTTTTCTTTGAAAGTAAAATAGATTACCTGGTCCTGGATAGCAAAAAATGGATTTACAAATCTGAATCACTCTTACCCTAATAATACATTTTTGCAACAAAAGACCAAAGTGATAATAACAGCATTGGCTTGTTTTTCTACATTTTTGTGTAGAAACAAAAGAGAAATATTCTTACAGGGTTGAAGAATGGGTTGAGACCAGAAATGTCCTGAACGGACAACAGAGCTGAAAAGGGCCCCAGATTCTTCACCAGCCACTCTTCACTGCTGTTTGAGATGGATACACAGCTTGGACCTATAGACCAAGATAAAGAGAGATCTGTGAATACTGACACAGTTTCAACTTGTACAACCACTTGAGGTTGCAAATTTGAGATACGTTAAGTCCCATGGATATTTAGAAAGTGCAGCAAGTACCTGAGTGTGACATAAAACGGAGGATGAACTCCTTTAAGACCACATGCTGTTGGTTTCTGGACATCTCGTCAAAACGATGGATAAATACCTGCAGTCTGAAAAAAAATGAGAATACACTTAGTTACTTTCTAAAACTCGTTTCAGTAGTTAGATTTTAGATAGATGTGGTACAGTAACGGTTCTTAGTATTTAAAGAAAACAGAAAAACGCAGGCAAGGTAGCTTAAAATTGAAGTTAGGATATCTCACCTGAATAAATGTTCTTTATACTGTACATTCCATGGATATATTTTAACATTTTGTGTGTAAGTCTTGTTATGTGATGACATTCACCATGGACAATAGGGTTCAATGATAGTAAAA